TTACATTAAAAAAAATGAGCAGTGATGAGTTTTCGGGTGCAGGGCTTGCATGGCCACAATGGGTATATTGTATTACCGAATTGCACAAAGGGGTCTCGGTGAAGATTTGCCTGATGATGAGGTCCAGTGATTGATGGTTTGTTAACCAAGCTCACTCGTATCAGTACCTTTGCTCGACTGCAATAATGTATTGTTTTTTCCAGCCATGAACAGGTCTTTCTGCTCTCGATGTTTTTCATGTCGAAGATCTTTCTAGTGGCTCAACTGTTGTGGCTGTTTTTGTTTCTGTATAACTGAGTTTGATGCTTTTTTGGTTATAGAAATTTTTAGTCTCTAGGAATTATGACTTGTGAGTTGTGACCTGTTTTAATGTTTTGTATGTGATTTTTTTTCCCCCAATTTTACTGTATTTTCCAAATTTTATTGTTTTATGTTTATGTTTTTATTTCAACCTTAACAGAAGGAAGACATTTTGGTACCTGAGTTTGGCCGTTGTTTAATTGCTATCTTAATCTTCTTTCCGCTTTCCTTTGTGTGCTTAAATCTAAATTGATTATCTGATCTGATGATTCGATAGTAAATCCAGGCTAATGAGCTTTTGTTTACCTTTTCCATTATTCTTGGAGAAAGATGGATATATCAAATTGTCATGCTGAAAATTTGCTTGTAATGGTACTTTTATAAAATGTAACACAGTTAAATGAAGCCAGGTGAATTTAGATTGACACTTAATTAATGCATCTATATTCATCCTCGGATCTGAACAGGTTCTGATCAAAGCAAAAGGCTAAAGGCCCAACAATGGCCCATAACAATTTAGACGATGAAGGTTTTATATTTAAATTGACCCTTAGTTAAACCTTGTATACATATTATAAAACAAATCAGTGCATGAGTCAGCCTATTTGTTAGACAGTCGATCCGTACATAACTTTTAATACATATATATCCTATAAAATATCATATTTTTGTTCAAATAAAGTATAATATTTGAGTTTGATTGTAGTATATCTTTTGAATAAGTATGACTGTTAAATCATTAGATTTGTTTGTTCGTGATTTCACAATGATATGGAGTATATTGATCAAAGGATTTGATCAACCTAAATTCAAATATTTAGTGCTAATCATCTATAGTAATAAAAAGAGATTTTAACCGGAGAATTTAAATATAGGTGGATTTTATTGGGGTCGGACTCTCCGAAAAGAATATTTAATTCACGGAACAGTAACAATCAGAAGAATTTGTCTCGCATTAAATACTGAATCCGACCTCATTTGGCCGGAAAAGTCCGACCCCAATAAAAGCCGTCTATATTTAAATTCTCCAATTAAAATCTGTTTTTACTACTTTAACTATGGACGATTAGCACTAAATCTCTGGATTTAGGTTGATCCTTTGATCAACAGAGCCCAAATTAGAATGACACTTTAAATGATATGACATGCAAAATACTAATCGGAAAACCCAATTGGAGCTCCATGCTATTTCCAATATTCATATAATTATATTAATTTCATTCATCATCAATATTCAACAAAAAAAGAAAAAAAAAAAAAACAATTATAGTTCACATACGCATTTGATATTTGTACCAGTCAAATGATAATGGCTCTGATGCATGAATTGACTTTCATTTACTATTAAATTGTTAATTACAAACGATGTCAAATAGTTATGTTTTGTCAAAAATAATTTGGTCTTTCACATTGTGAATGTCAGCCTCTTCAAAATTACTAAAAATTAAAACATATCCCTTTCATTCGACTCATGTAGTCATTTCTGTTTCCTCCCAAATTAAGGAAGTTACTATAAGAATCGGGTCATCATCAATACTTTGATTGTCGGATCAATTGCAGAACCGAATAATGTTTTAGCTAGCTTTGTTATTAACCCGACGCAACAATTGATTTATGGGTCTGGGTAAATAAGCCAAGACATGATTTGTATGGTCTAAATATTAATTTACTCAATCGTCCTATATATTGTTTTTTTTTTTTTATAAATAAAATAGTATTCTTATACTATGAAATATCATATTTTATAACATCTATAATAAAAATACATAGAAAAATACTGAACTATTCACTACAACAATATAATTGGACTCTACGTGTTGGTGGTTTTTAATTGAGATAAATACTGAACTATTCACTACAACAATATATATATCACATTAGTCAATCATATTAGACTAGCAAGCAGCAAACCACCCAACAAACTCTAGTTAATGCTGCAATAGTATTGTAAATTAGTAAGTATAGACAATTATGTATATTTATGTATAAAATATTTATTTTTTTGGGTAGTTAGAACTTAGAAGTAATAATGCAAAAGATTTGAAGACCACCAAACCCAAACGTGCAGGCCAGCGTAGAATGTTTTCCACGATCAGCAACACATAATTTCTATATTTAGGTGAATTTTACCATAAATTCATAAATTAAGTCACCAAAATCTATATTTATAATCAATTTTAGGATTGTACTCTGTCTCTATTATTATTCATTTTCAGTATTGAATTTGTATGTTTTGACTGTAAATTAAAATATGTGATTGGATTGATATATGATACGTACATAAGGAAGTAAAAATTAAAAAGATAAAAATGTAAAAATATTTCACCGACTTTATTATATAGTTTGATAAATCCACCAATAATCTATAAGAAGTCTACTACTATTGAACTCTTTATATATCTTCAGATCCGTATACATATATGTAGATATAAATTAATTAGCTAACTATCTCTAGTAATGTAATTCATCATTTATAAGGTTGATGGGACCAAAAATTATGAGTTTTACAAAATTTTGAAGATCTGCCACGAGCCTTGTAACTATTATATATCTCTCAATCTTTGAAATCTATTGTTTATTAAATTTACCAACTTTGAGCATGTTTTCATGATTTTTTTAATAATAAAAAATAAAAATAAAATTGTAAAAGTCATACGGTTGTGTATGGTTGGAGCCTGGAGGATCATTGATGATAATTTACCCCGAGTTGGAAAAATATGTGTTAATTAATATAGAAACAACATTGAGAAGCTATATAATAATGGTGTTTGATTTAATTGTTTAAGAGATTGAGTAGATACCTTTAATACTTTTTAACTCTAGCTTCCGTCAAAGCTTAGGAAGCATGATGTGTTCTACTTTCTACAAAAGCGTAAGACGAAATTGCATTTAATTATTATCTGTAAATTTTATTAGCTTCCCAATATATATATGTATATAATAAATCTTTAATTATTTGGTCATTAAAGCTAACATTTTTGAGAGATCTCACTGAGGTGCTAATGCGTAAAAATTGTTTCAATTTGTTTTCCACATGACTTAGAATAGTGCACGTAATATCACAATTACACAAATTTATAAATTTATACCTTTTTGTTTTTTTTTTTCAAAATGATACACAAATGCAATTTACCAAAATATTACATAATGTTGTAATAATACGTGAATATTTGGAGTAGCATGGAAAAGAAAAGTTGAGGCGATTTGCAATTTACCAAAATATTGCAAAATGCAATTTATAAATCTATTACTCTTTTTGAATAAAAATTCATTGTTTTTTTCATTTTATGCCACTTGGTAAATACATGAATTAGTACGAATCTCGTGCGATGCAAGGGTAAGAGATATTCATTAATATTTATAAATTAAAAATTTTAATATTATGTAAAATTAAATTGTGCAAAATCACATAGAATATGTCTATTTATAATTAGTACACAACCCGACAATGAAGTGCAGCTTGAGTGGTAAGATGTTTCACCTATGACCAATAGGTTATGGGTTCGAGTCATCGAGTAGGGGAACTGAGAATACTATTGATCCTTTTTAAGAAGAAAAAAAAAAAGTTAAATTAGTACACAACCCCTACGGTGCATGTAACTGATAAAAAAATACATTATATTCATTTCAAAATAAGTGTCATTTTTTAATTTTTATTCATAAATTCAATTTGACTACAATATTGTTGATGAACGACTTGGCTTCATGAGGTTAGAGCCAAAGATTAATCGTTTCGTTCGATTAATAGTCCCTCAGAAATAGCTAAACTTAGCTCAAGTCGGTACCAGTTAAATACGTTGATTTTCGACTTCCAATTGACTGAAAGTAGAACCGACAACTTATCAGAAGCCGACAACCGACTTCACCAACATTGTGAATATGATCTTTAAAATATTATCCATTCATCCGACATCCGAGAAGATCGAATTTCCAAGCAAGAAAAGCTGTGCATATTCGATTGGACCATCAAAACAAAAAACAATCATTGATGTTTCCTCATTCCACTACACACTGTTTTATCGAAGCTGCTCCATTAAATGCGATCTTATCTACCTCGGACAAAAAGACAAAAGCGACCGTACTATAAATAGCAGAATTTATAGTTGTACAAAGATCTTTGAGATCTTTTTCTTCTTTCTTATACACATTGTACAAGGACTTGAAATGATCTCGGTCAAGAACAAAAAACCGACTTCCTCTACTTTTGTGATATCATCAATGAAATATAATTTTCTTTTTATTGTTGTTTAAACATACCTTGCTGTTTATAATTTTAAGTTGTTAATTTCATACAACAACAAATATGATTCCATGAAATAATTATTTTGGTAAAATTTTATTATATATTTAAAAATTTATAGGAATAATAAGTAAAATTATAAAACTTATATTGTTTTATTAATTAAAATGAATTTATTTTTGTGTAACCTATCCAAATCAAAAAGTTTAAGTAGTTGAGTAATTTATTAAACAATAAATAATTGACTATTCCATTTACGTCCAAGTTATTATTGACGAGTAAGTTAGGAACAAGTACTTATTGAATTTGAAACTCAAATGTGAACTACACAATAAATTCACATATGTATTTCATGTACATATACCTATGTATATTTAATATTATAATTTTCTAGATTTGTTGTCGGTTACCTTATTGTTCAATTTATCAACTAATTATTTATAATAAATTACAAATTTTAAATTTTATTAATCAATACTTATTCAAAGATATTCTTGATTTTCAAGATGAACACATACTAAGTTGCGGAATTAATTATCATCAATATCCTATGGAAAGTCATTATGCGAATATGCTAAAGTTTTAGAATTATATCATCTTGCTTTTATTGCAAATCAACCAAAAATTAGACTTTCACATCTATACCAAATAAAATTCATACCACTTATTTTTTTTTCAAAGTTTTCAAATAAACTTCTAACAATACAAAACAAAATTAATACTATTTAAATTCGAAAATTTCATACAAAATTTGAATCACCCACTTTATACCGTAAATTCAAACATTTATTAATAACAACAAATTTCATACAAAAAATAAAAATGGTCATCAGATAACTCAAATAAAATCGCCAATTTTACACCAAAATCGAACATATTAAATTTGACAACTTTATACCATAAATAAATTAATTAATTTCTATAGGCGGAATTTTTTGAAATCTTTCAAATAAGATTATCAAGTTTAGTCATTTTAAAAATTTTAGGCAGAACTTTAGTTTTTATTTCAGGTAAAATAATTTGTCGATTTCATCAATTTTGGTCCTTTTTTATCCACCCCTGGATTACAAAGTGACGTGGCATGACGTGTCAGTTTTTCAATGTTACATGGCGTGATTATGATCTACGTGGCACGTCAATTTTGGTCCTATAATTTGACGATTTCATCAATATTGGTCCTTTTTTCATGCCACGTCACTTTTTAATTCAGGGTGCGGATAAAAAAGGACCAAAATTGATGAAATCGACAAATTATAGGACCGAAATTGAAAGTGGTCAATATCGGGGTGGTTTTTTGGACAGTGGTCAAATTATAGGACCAATTTTGAAATTTTCCCAAATTATTCTCAACATATTTTTGTATTTTAACAAATATTGAGCAATATCAATCAAATCGATTATGGAGAAATAAAATGAATAATAATTTAAATTGAAATCACAATATCATGATTTTGTTAATTTAAAATTATAGCCCATACACATTTAAAGAAAAGTTAATTGATGCATAATAACATATTTAGTGATGCGAATTAAGAATGCGAACAATATATATCAATATTTCTAAATGAGTCATTTTCAGAAATCATCTGCAAATTGACATAAATAAGTCACAAATATCAATTTTGAAATGAACTAATCACACAAATTAACGGAAGCATTTAATAATTTCTCATTTTATTGAATAAAAAAAATTCAAAAACTTATCCAATTTGTTAAGCATTTAATGCTAATAGAATTTGACCTGCATTTTTTCTGCCATTTAAAAAAAAGTTGTTCGATTATATAGATATAAATATAGATGTTGAGATGTGTTGTGAGGTTTGCCAAGCAATCTTCGTCCAATAATGAAGGACTTGTTTGGAAGATATACTAGTACGAATCTCGTGCGATGCACGGGTACAAGATATTTATAAATTAAAAATATGAGATCTATATGCAATACAATTTACCTATATTAATTTATTGACAATGTTATAAGAAATTTAAATCATGCAAAATTAAATAAAACATGTCTATTTAAAATTATATTAAATTTATTTTAATATTAGTGTTAGTTTAAATTTTTTATTCAGAAATTAGAATGACTACACTGTGATTCCATAAAATAAATATTTTGGTAATAATTATTTTCTGAATAATTATTTATTCAAAATTCGATATGACTACAAAGAGAAGACTTCAAAAGTTCGTTAGAACATAAGAACAATGCGTAGCTTAATCAAAGATCTACTTGACCTCTTGATCTCCTAGATTAGACCTCATTGTTTGTCATCTTTTAAATGATAATAACAATAGTATTGAAACGTTTGTATATGATAAAATGTGCGTGAATGTATGATGCAAAAGTTATGTATTTATAGTGAACTTAAGTGTAATTTATTAAAACAAATAAATCCATAAAGAAATTATTTAACTAAATCAATTATCAGGTGATGTATAATAGATGGAATCCTCATTTTTCAAAATACATTTAGATAAGATTTTTGAAATTTGAAATTTAATATAACTAATCCCATAATTTATGGTAGCATTAAATGTTCTATAATTTTTATAAATAAAAAATACAAAGATTGAGAAAACATTCCAAAAATGGAATTCAATTAATTTTGACGGATTTTTTACTTACTAGTTTTAGTAAATAGTAATTCTTAGTATATATGTATATATATATATAGATATAGATTATGTGTTCATATGCATTTGGGGCATATGAGATGATGATTTTGATGCTTTTGGAAAATTTATTTTATTTTTATTTTTTTAATGTTCAAAGTCTCTTTTAACTCCACCCACCACATCTCAAGAAGTAGACAAGTAGCTGTAACTTTGTAATTCCCAACTTCAAATGGTAGTACTATTTAACAAAAANATATTATTTGGTACTTTATGACATGCTTTTCGTACTTATAAAGATACAAGATTCAATTTGGATTTGCTGATGGTTTTGCAAATAGCACTTTATATGTTGGGGTAGAGAGTGTGAACGGATGATTGACAAATTTTGTGAGTTTCTAAAATGTGAATATTATGCGTTAAAGGTGATTACTATTTAATAAAAAATTATCAAATACTTAAACTTTTACCAATCAATAACGTTGTGTATAGAGAAGTGTTTAATAACATACTATTTTTTATAATTTGTATTTCTCTATAGAAACATATTTAAAATAAAATTAATAAAAAAAGGTTTGAGGAATAAACCCACGTACAGCGCACGGGAAGTACATTAGTTATTATTAATATAAATAGTATTTTAAAAATGTCATAGAATGTCCTTTTATCGTTCCGCTTAGATCCTGAGACGGCATAATCCTATGGGAAATTTTCATGTATACTTACCGTTTTTTAAGTAATTGCAACATTACCATCCAAACCAATAAAATTGTGTATATACCTAAGAGATAAAAAGTAATTATATTCATGCCTAAAACAGTTACAAGTAAGGTGAACAACCATTCCATATTTGTAGCGCACAATTTAAGGATTCAAGATGGAAAGATATTATATTTGAATTTAAAGTCATAATCATCGTTGAAACAGACGGAAAAGAAAAGGAAACATGCCGAAAATATACTGGACATGCGTCAGCACGACCCCGACGAGGAGTGTCCCCAGGATGTGAGATTGCATCCTGACTTTAAATCTTTAACGGCAGAATATACCGAAAATATACTGATAATATACTGTCGAACGTCTTCCTGTTAATGTCATGAAAAAATATACTGATAATATACCGAAAATTTTTAATCGATAGGTGTATGGAATGATTATATCTGTACATATACTTTACATCCTAACATATACTGTTCATATACCACAATACAGAAAAAGTCTGGTTCATGTATGGAATGATTATATCTCCAAAATAATATGAACAACTTTGATCGACAGGTGCATCCCATAATTGTGTTTGGAGTGGGAAATCATGTTTTCATGTAATAGAAGAACAAAAAAGAAAAAATATAATAGATAGAGAGGTATATTTCTTGATCGGAATCATGTTTTCATGTAATATGTTTGGAGTGGAAAATCATGTTTTCATATATACTGTACATATACTGCACTCGTTGGGAGAAAGCAAAGTCATATATACTGTACATATACTGTACATATACTCCAATCCAATGTCTACAAATTTCAACGTAATGACTAATCTACACACAGTCCGAAACCCTAAAAAATCGAAGCAAAATTCAAAGTTTCTGCAACCAACCATTCATCTCCCCCGATTGTGGAGACGCCGAAACCCTCTTTAGAGGACGTCGTCGCCGGCGGTAATTGAGGAAATCATGCTCCGGAATATATTCATCTTCTCTCTCGTCGACTCCATAGAAAAAGATTCTCGCATCGCGTACATGTAGATGACGACCGCGGGGATGGCTCGGTAGACGATCTCGTCGAGGGGTAGGACTCGGTGGAGGACGGCGTTGAAGGGGACGTACTTGACGGAGAAGCCAGGCGTGGCGGCGGACTTGTGCGAAGAAGATAGAGAGAGTGCCGTGTGTGAAGAAGAGAGAGCGGGGGGAGGGGGGAGGAGAGAGGCGTAGTTGATGTAAGTTACCATCTAAATAAGAAATCAGTTTTTGGTAACCGATGGACTCTCATTAATTCCTCCATTATCTAGTAACAATACCATAAATATGAAAAAACAGATTTTTAGGCATATATAAAAATAAAATTAACAAATTCAGTTAGTTTGTAAATAATTATATATGGGATGTAATTATGTAATATCTTCATATTATTTAAGTGGAGGGTGCAAATTCCTCTATGTTTAATGATGATTATTCATGATTGGGCTTAATCTGTTTTCACGGGTCCCAAAGATTGCATATTTATATATAACTTGCCAAATTAATTCGGTCCTCTCTGAGTTGTATTAAGCCCACAGACCCTTTTTTTTATACGATATTCGGGCCACATTTGCACATAGTTTACTGATTTTAAGAATATATAATACTTTTGTTGCACATAGTTTGCCAACTAATGGCATTATTAATTTATTCTGTAGCTAAGAGTATAAATATGTCTTGCGTTTTACTAGCATACAGCAACTCGAGCTTCTCCTCAATTTAAAAAAATAAAATAAAATAAAATAATAATATGGAACAAATAGAGGCAATTTGTGGATTGGAATGGAACAACTCGATGAGTGGAATTTGTTCTGATGAGGCTGAGTTCATGGCCCAATTGCTCGATAATTCTTCTAACTTTCCGAAATTTTGGCCAGATCATCATGCATTGAATTATGATGGCATTTATCTTGAAAGATCAATGTGCGAGACAAATGCAAGTGTGTTTTTACCATTTTCGTCGAGTCCACACGAAGGCTACTATTATGATGATGTGTCTCATCAACATTTTGTCAACGGCGATAGTTTTATGAGTAGTGAGAGTATGGAGTCGAATGAGAATGTTCCGGAAGGTTCTCCCGGGAATAATTTGCCAGAAATGTCCAAGAAAAGATCCCGACCCTCTAGAGAAGTAAGAAAAATAATAAAAATATAGCTTTCCTCTCTAAATTCATGCAAGTTTTTTTTTTTTTTTTCTTCTTCTTCTTCTTCTTATTATTATTATTATTTAGTTGTTTCGTATCATAATCACTTTGTGTGGAAAAAATTCAGGTGGAGAGGAACAAAAGAAGCATGAAACTCAAGAAGTGTGTTAATGTTGATTATGATGATAATGACATTGATAATGATAATCACAACAATGTGAAGATTCAGCGGCAGAGCTCGAGTAGCTGCTGCTCGGAAGATGATTCGAATGCCTCCCGAAAAGTCAACGAATTTTCGATTGGGTCAAAGGGAAAAACACGTGCCGGTAGGGGCTCTGCAACTGATCCCCAGAGCCTCTATGCAAGGGTAATTTAGTAATTTTATTTTCCAATAAAGAAAAAAGAAAAGGTCCATTTGTGTATATGTATGTCTTGTGACTGACAAAAAACTTTTCGCGCGATTTTTGCAGAAAAGGAGAGAGAGAATAAACGAGAGGCTGAGAATCTTGCAGAAACTTGTCCCGAACGGAACTAAGGTAATAATGTAATTTTCTAGACGAAGGCGGGAAAATCGAATTTTTCGAATGCATTAATCTTAAACTCTGCGTTTTGTGGTAATAATAGGTTGACATCAGCACAATGCTTGAAGAGGCTGTACAGTATGTCAAGTTTTTGCAAGTTCAGATTAAGGTAGTTAGTTAGTTAGTTAGTTGTATGTGAAGCACAAAACCAAAATAGATTTATCATTATTATTTTTTTATTTTTTTTTTCAATTTTGGAGCTGTGATATTAATTTGTGTTTTATTGCAGCTGTTGAGCAGTGATGACACGTGGATGTATGCTCCAATTGCCTACAATGGAATGGACATAGGGCTTGATTTAAAAATCTCCACTCCAAAGCCACAATCCTCATGATCAAGAAGATGATAAGAATGATCGATGGGCTTAATTAGTAGTGGTGCCTCATTTTGTTGTGAATAAAATAAAATACTACCCTTTTATTTATTCAAATATTATTTATTTTATTTTATTTTATTTTTGTCCGTTTTACNTTGAGGAATTTGTTTTTTATTTTTTATTTTATGGAGAAAAAGTGATGAGAGGAAATTGTAAAACTTCGATCTGATTTGTGGCGTTGTTGCTGTTTAATGTAATAATAGATTGGGACTAACCCCATTTTTTTATGCATGCTTTGTGTTCTTAACATTAAAAGTATAGTGATGGTTACTGTAAGTCTATAACTGATGTGTGTTGACATCAAAGTTCATCAACTAATGAAAAGGGCATTTTTTATTTTTGGTGATTAGCAGTTTAGCGATAGCTGATTATATTAAAAGGTTTGACCAACAAATTATTATATAAAGTGTTTAGTAATTCATTTATATAGCGGAATTATGATATGAAATGAATAATAACATTATAGCAACATTAAATAATATTATTATTAGGCATATTTATTTAAAATATAGGTCTATATGATAAATTTGTTGTGAATCAATAAATATTATTAATGTAACAACAAGGTACTAAACTTGCATTTTTTAAGTTACTTATTTATAAATATATCAAGTCTAAATAAACAAATTTTATTAATAGTGATTAAAGAGTTATATAACTATAAAGCTAAATATAGTTCATAAAAAAAAAATCTATCTCTTGCAATAAATAAATATTCAATTCTCTCTTCACTAAAAACTTTTTATTTGGAGATTTTTTTATGTTAATTTTTTAACAGTAATGTTAAGGAGTCAACAGCCAATAGGTCAGCTCCATTTGGGGTTGTCCCACATGGCTCCAATGTTGATCAGCCCCACGTGGAGCTGTCCCATTGGGGCTCCTTAACATTATTGTTTAAATATATTGAGACTAGGATCTGACTAATCAAACATCCGAATAAGGTCAAAATATCTCTTTACCAAACAATAATCTTTTAAAATGTCAACTTATGCAATAAGAGTGAGTGGTGGGTAGGGCTGTAAACGAGCCGAGCTCGAGCCGAGCTCAGCTCGTTAAGTAGACGAGCCAAAAATCGAGCTCGAGCTCGGCTCGTTAAGGCCTCGAGCTCGAGCCTTAACGAGCTCGAGCTCGGCTCGTTAAGGCCTCGAGCTCGAGCCTTAACGAGCCGATCTCGAACTTTAACGAGTCGAACTATAAAAAATTATACAAATTTCACTTTTCGAGTCTTATCGAGCTAAGCCGAGCTCGTCTCGTTAACCAAACAAGCTTTAAATGAGCTCGAGCTCAACTTGTCAAGGCTTCGAAATCGAGCCGAACTCGAGCCTTAACGAGTCGAGCTCGAGCCGAGCCGAGTCAGGCTCGTTTAATTTAACAGGACGTGGTGGGTATCCAAAGGTTGTTTGGAAATACTTTTCAAGTGTAGTTTTAGATGCAAAAATTCAATTGAATAAATATTTATATTTGGTTCTAATTTAGAAATGGACTTATGAATAAGTTGTTTTTTTCAAAAAGTTCAATCTGTAGAGAAGTAAAAGATATAATGGAGACTTTTGGAGAAGTTCATTTTAAATAAGTTCATTTCTTAAATGGACTTTTTCGAAAGTGTTCCAGACATAATCTTTCAATATTATGGTTGTACAGTCAGACATGCCAATTACCATACTAGGTACTATCAATAGATCGATTGTCATTTTATGATATTTTATTAATATAAATGTGGGGAACTTGCTGCAAAAGGGAGCTGGAAGCAGGACTGGGTTAAGGTCGATAGTTGCAGACATTTTATGGCTCACCTCCTCTGACATTGATTGTGTGTTTGTGTTTGATCCTGGAGTATCATTTGGATGGAATTTTTCTGTATTTTAAGATTGTGACGGACTGTAGTGTTTTGCAGTTTCGGTAAATGCTTAGCTTGTTAGAATTCTGGCAAGATTTGTATTGTTAATCCCAGTTGGGATTCAGTTGTAAGACTTTATTTTTTAGCTTTGCAATATAATTGTTCTCGTTGGGGAAAAAAAAAAATAGATCGATTGTCAATTTTGTTAGGTGGAAATAAATTTTGAATAGAAATATATAATAAATTTTCACTTTTAAATATTTCACTTTCCATATATGGTTTAACTATTAACATCTATATATCTTTTAATACATAAAAAATGCTAAGGATTTATCTTAAATAGTAAGAAAATTCTTGCCTAAATTTTTTATTTTTGCTATATCTAGAATTATTTTTGAAAATTTTGAATTATCCTACATTTGATCGATATAATCCAAGTTGGAAATTCAAATAATTAAATCAATCAAGCGTAATAAAAATATCTTTCTTTTTTTGGTTGTTAATGAGATAAATTTATTTTCCTTATTTGGTGAGAATGTTTGAATAATTTTAAATCAATTATTTAATATTTTTTTTCTTTGATGCATAATAAAAAAAATACTTAATGCTTATCTTTTTATAATTTTTTTTTCTTATCAATCTTTCAATAATATCATTATCCAAATGATGAATCTGAGCAAAATTATGTGTCTGGTCCTTAGACGTTGCTTCAAATTAGTTGGTTCCTTTGGGCCTCATTCTCCCTCGACCTGCGACTTCGAGCCTTCAGATATGGACTAAGGTTGCGTTTCTGCCGGTTCTACCTAGCTGTAGAGTTAAGTTCTGAGGTCCGCTATGTAGCGCTTTAAGTCTTGTTCGTGGTTTTGTTATATTTGGACTCTGGTTTAGTACTCGTCTGGGTTATGATGTGGGTTGCTTTTGTTCGTTAGGGAGGTAATAGTTTACACACTCTGAAAAAAAAAATATATGCTTTTTATACTAATAAATGCTATTTTCAAGTCAAATTTAACATGCTTGACCAATATTAATCAATTAGGCAAATTAACATGTTAACCAATTTTGGTCAGTTGTACAATTATGGTAGGTGTTTCTTGTTTACTTTTTAGAACAAAATGAACTCTTGCTTTTAAGGTATTCAACGAAAGTATTATGAAAATGACAGATATCAATATCAATAAAAACGAGTAAAAGCAATAGTTTTTTTTGGTCCATCATTAAGATTACACATGGAGGTCAAACACGTGATCTTCGAGAATTATATCTCCAACAAGAAGCCTTAGATATATTTATAAGGTAAGAATAATAAATAAAATAAAACATCACGAGAACGAAATGACAGGAAAATAAAAATGAATACAATCTACCTATCTATTAGTAGTATATAATTAAACAACTCATGCTATTTTTAATAAATTTCCTGTCTATTTTCACTGTTCGCTGGTTCATTTGCATATGTGATTTTTATATCGTGCATATATAATTTCGTGATTTGTGAAAAAGAAATATTTTGTTAAAATTTGTTTTTAATTAAATACAAATTTAATTACAAGGTGAAAATTTGTTAAAATTTGTTTTTAATTAAATACAAATTTGATTACAAGGTGAAAAAAATATCTAATTAGGTGAAAAAGAAATATTCTGATAAGAATGTGTTGGACTATAAAAGAAATTTGCCCTTTAATTAAATACAAATTTGATTAAAGTGAAAAGAAATATTTTGATAAGGATGTGTTGAGTGTAAAGAAAATTTACAAATTTGATTACAAGTTAAAATTTTTTCCAAGTCTTCTGGAAGTCTCATCGACGCTCTGAGTTTCTGAGATATATATAAAGTCTCAACTAATACACAAAAGAAGAACAAGAACGTCATGAGTTTCTGAGATATATATAAAGTCTCAACTAATACACAAAAGAACAAAAACGAGGACACTTGGATGTGATGTAAATTTTAATATTTATGGGATGACATTTTAGTTATTGATTAATGTGATGTAAATTTCAGTATTTATTAATTTCAAGTAACGTGATATAAATTTCATGCAATTTGTCAACCACATTTTTATAGTATTTTATTCTTATCTCTACCTTCCAAACATTAAAATCACCGCCGTACATTGTGTAATTCATTTCTGAAGTCGCAGAAAATAGTTTAGAAAACTTAAGACCATCTCCAGCGCAGTGGTAGACCAGAGTAATACTCTAGAGTTAGTGTCAATTCTTTCCTCCAATGCATCTCCACAATTGTGCGCCAGATTAGAGATATGCACAGTGCAACTCTACATCTGACGCAACACTATTTCTCTTGCGCTAGTTTTTTTCCTTTTTTTTATTATTTCTTTTATATATTTTGTATAGATTTTCCTATTTTATTAATTTTTTTATGAAATATATATATATATACATATCATTGATAAATTTTTATATTGTATCAATAAAAGTGTTTAATACATATTTTGTGCATTCCTATTGTTTCAACTTATGGAGCAGAGTCTCGTGTTGTTATACATAAACATATTTTATTATTGAGTAATAAATATTTATATAATATTGAATATACATATATGTACTAATTTATTTGAAATAAAAAAATAATATATTTGATGTAGAGTAAAATGTAGAGATAAAGATTGGAGATGAATGTTTAGCTCTACTCTAGAGTAGAGTAAAGTCCGCGCTAGAGTAGAGATAAGGGCTGAAGATGGCCTAAAAATGTGGAAAAAAAATAAAAAATAGTTTAGAATATCTAATGATAAAAATGTCTATTCTAAGTCATATATTTAAAGAAGTAACGTTTTTGTTCAGTTATTAATAAATATATAAAATTGAAAAATAATTAACACCATACACTCAATAATTACCAATTTATCATTAAAAAAACACTATTGAAGAAAATAGTATAATGTTTCTACCTTTCAAAACCTTTCACTGGACACAGAAGGGCTATGAGAGAACTGATAATTAGTCATCAATTCAAGCACGGTCTTCATTCATATGACTCGGGACTTCATTTTGACCGTCGAGGGGCATGTATTGTCCCATAATTGCCCTTATCTCTGAGTCCATATACGACTGCCCAAATGCAAACAAGGTAGAAAAATTAAAAAGGC